ATATGCTGTCTAGCTAGACTTAAGCCTATCCCTTACCATAGATGTGAACTGGCAATCTCATCAGGCTGTCATCTGTGAAATATTATAGGGTAAGGCCTAGATTATTATAATACCATAGATATACATTAAAACTAAGTAACTGTTATCAAGTGAGGAGATAATCTTTCACTTAGAAGATGAGAAGTTAGTCTGTGAACTTGGTTCAAGGTTATAATAATGTGAGGCAAAACCTGTAATTAGGCTTCCTAAAGAATAAATACTAAATTACTCATTGGCCACATGGCTTCTGATCACTATCTTCCCATGCTGTGGAATAAATTTTGCTCTAGGAGTCCTCATAAGGAGCTGTGGTGGTGCAGTGCTGAAGGCATTTGACTGCTAACTAGAGGTTGTTGGTTCAAACCCACCAGATGCTCCGTGGAAGGAAGATGAGGCAATTTACTTCCATAAAGATTTACCACTTTGCAAACCCAGTGGGGGGTCACTGTGAGTTGGAATTGACTCGATGGCAGTGGGAGTCTTCCTATTTTTGCTACTACAGCTACCTAACATTTGTTGGATACTTATGTGGTAACCACCAACCTCAGTACTTGGCATGGTGTTTCTCATTTACCCCAAGACTGTGGCCATGAGTCAGTCACCCTTCGAACCTGGAACTGAACTCATTCTTGTGGCTCAATTTTCAGCCAAACATAGGTCTACAAAGTGAACAATAGCACTAGGAAGGTTCACACTCATAGAACAATCAATTATTCAGGTTCAAAAGGGCAGCATTTGCCCAAGGGCAAAATTCAGAAGGCAGGAAAGGTTAGGGGACAAGGAGGAAGGGAAATGAGAAACACAGAGAAGAAGTGGGAGGAATGCTGTTATATTGAAGGAATTGTAGTCAGTGTCACAAAACAAAATGTGTATGAATTGGTGAGTGGAAAACAAATTTGCTCTGTAAACTTTAACCCAAACCACAATAAGAAGTTTAGAACTAATAAATAAAAATAAAATCCTCATAACCAAAAAAAGCAATAATTATTTTCTGAGGTCTTTTATATATAGTGGAAGCAGATGATGTACAACTAAAGTTAGCTTGTTTTAGAGCTTTAAAAATTATTTTCAGTTTTTTCATTTGATTATAACCCTCCATAAGAATTATATATATAAGTATTTGGCTATCTAAAACAAAGTTATATGGATTTGTACTCAGGTTAGTTACATGACAAACTTTTCTATCCCTGACCATGCTATTTTATTACAACAAACAAACTGGTACTGACTCCCTAAATGGATTTTACTACCTACTAGCCACCTTCTAGGAGCTCTGGTGGTGTAGTACCTAAGGCACTTGCCTGCTAACCAGAAGGCTGGAGGTTCAAACCTACCATCCACTCCTCGGAAGGAAGATGGGTCAATCTACTTCCGTGATATTGCCTCGGAAACCAAAGGAGGGGTGGCTATGAGTTGGATCCAACTTGATGGCACATAACAACAACAACAACAGCCACCTTCTAATATAAGAAATAGCAGTATATTCTAACGTCATCTGAGGGACCAGAAATACCCAGACTGGACTAACTCCTGTGCTTACACTTTGATGATACTTTATAAAATTTGTATATCTCTATAGATAAAGAGGGAGCTCTGGTAGCATGGTGCCTAAGGCACTTGACTGCTAACCAAAAGGCTGGGGGTTCAAACCCACCAGCCACTCCTCAGAAGGAAGGTTGGGCAATCCTACTTCCCTAGTGATACTGCCTCGGAAACCCAAGGAGGGATCACTATGAGTCGGGGCTGACTCGACAGCACATAACAACAACAACAACATAGATAAAGAACAAAGGGAAGCATAGGAAAGCATAATAGTTCAAATGTTTACTGAGCATCTGCCATGTGCTGACCTCCATGTTATGTGCTGAATGACACAAGATTGAATAATTGAGGGTGCATTTTCCTCCTTTCAGGAAAAAAAGGGGGGACCATTTGCCCTTATGTATATTTTGCATGATTTTTTAGACTGGCATTTTTATGTAAGGATGATATTTTTGTGATACATATTAAACAAGGGAAGGCAAAATGGAGGCAAAACCAAAACAATCTCTTAACTAGGGAGATTAGACTTTCCCTTCCTCTAGGTTGCCTTTGTCCACTCCCTTCTTGGGTTCACCTGTCAGTAAGATCCTGGAGCAGACTAGACAAGATCCCTTAACAAATGTCTAGCAAAAAATTAACAGTCTTTTAGGGCAGGATATGTTTTAATAAAGAATTCCTTTTTCTCTTTGGGAGGTAGGTCATTAGTGAATAGTATTGGCTGTTTCCTAATATAAATCTTTGCTACTTTCTACTGTTGTGTGGCTGTCTTAATAATTCTGCTCACACCCTACCGCACATCCTCCCCAAATCTCTCTGTAGCCATAGTAAGGAGAGTTTAGAAAGGAATCAAAACATAAGAAATTGTCTGCCATTTAAATATATATACATTTTAAATACATATACTTATGATGGGGTTCTGTTCCCATGACTCTGTCCTAAGTTGATTCTGATGTAAATCAAGTAATTTTTCTTTTTTAAATATCAGGTATCTTTATAAGTCTGATCTTTGAACATCTACGAGTGACCAACTGAGAATGATAACATCAGCAGATTATGTGCTGCAACGTTGTATGTAGTACATATTACTAACAGTAAGATGTACAAAAAATGAAAGCAGACAATCCTAAATGCAGTTTGTCATAACTCAAATATGTCTATAAGTCGGGGACTACCTATATGTATATATACATACATACGTATATATATATATTTACAAATTAATATAATTATATCTATATCTTCCCCTACCCCATTTCCATATCTTAAGGAGGTTTCGTGGCGTAGTGGGTAAGGCATTTGGCTGCTAACCAGAAGGTCAGCAGTTCAAACCCACCAGCTGCTCTGCGGAAGGAAGGTGCGGCAGTCTACTTTTGTAAAGATTTATAGCCTCAGAAACCCGGTGAGGGTCGCTATGAGTCAGAATTGACTCAGTGGCAGTGAGTTTGGTTTCTTTCATTTTTTGGTTTTCCATATCTTACTAGCAAATAGTCTTATATGAAACTTTTAGCCAGTAAAGACACATTAAGTATACAAAACTCTCACGTATCACTTACCTCCACACAGTTATATCCTCTTCTTGGTTTAGTTTTGACCATAAAATTTGAGAAACCCTTTAAACAATTCTTCTTAATGCTATGAAATCTAGGGTATTGTGTTAGGATTGGCTTATGTTTATCTTATGTTTCTTAGCCAGTTCTTAGGAGAGCCCTCTGCCCAATGGCTTTTTGACATCTCTTAGATTACTATAGTTAGGAAATAGTACTTTTAGCTCTCATTCTGCATTAACAAGCTGCGTCATCGAGCAGGTTGCAAATGCATAGTGTGCCTTGGCCGCCACCTCATCTGTGATGAAAGATTGAGCTGAGTGTTCTCTGAGGACACTTAGAGCTCAGTGTTCTAGGTCTGTGCTCTGAAAGTCTATGTTTGAGAAATGAAATGAAATTAAAGTAAAAGACTTTTTGCTAATTCATCTTTATCTGTACTGACAAAAGTAAGAAAATAAATCTTATATAAGGAATAAAAGCCATCTGGGCCCATGCTTTGGCTTCTTTACTCTTCCATTGCAGTTCTGGAATCATTGTCATTTCATCCTTGGGAGGTTTTTGCTGATCTTTGTGACTGTTTTGGTTACAGTTGACTATCGTACTGTGTCAGAAGGACTTTTATGCTTTGTTAAGAATCTTTATGACATGTAAAACCATGATGCAATTACATGGAAGCACTACTAGATACTTCTGGTTCTCCCTTAACAGGAGAGATATGAAGGAGTATTATGAAGCAATTTTTATATGAATAAAAATTTTTTTATCTCTTTGTCCAATAAAGAAGAAAATTGGGAAAAGATTAGGAACAAAATGTGATAATAGTATATGGTGATTTCATAGGTAGGGGAGATGTGTTTTGATTCACCAAATTTCAGTATCCTAGAACAATGGGATATAATGTTATATTTTCAGTTCATATTACATTTACCTCGTATTTGTGAAAAGTTCATTTAGAGTTATTTTGAACTCACCTAAACCTCCCTTAAATTGTAAAAATGATTGATTGATTCATAAACCAAACCAAAATCACTGCCGTCGAGTCAGATCTGACTCATAGTGACCCCTTCTTGGGTTTCTGAGGTGTTAATCACTATGGAAGTAGATTGCCCAACCTTACTTCTGAGTAGTGGCTGGTGGGTTTGAACCTCCAGCCTTCTGGGTAGCAGTCAAATGCCTTAGGCACAACGCCACCAGAGCTCCTGTTTGATTCATAGGAAATAACTATTATTGGTGTCTGCAGCTACTTTATAAACCCACTGTTAAAGAGAGAATTCTGACTCACAGCAACACACACCCCCGGTCTCCGAAACGGTAAATATTTGTGGAAGTAGATTGACCCATCTTCCTTATGCAGAGCAGCTGGTGGGTTTGAAACACCAAACTACTGGTTAGCAGTCAGATGCCTTAGCACTGCACTACCAGCTCTCCTTTATAAGTATCAAAGCTACTTTATAAAAGTATGATATTAACCTTTAGTTATTTCTGCAGTGTCACCCACAAGAGACATGGAGCCTTTGGGTTTTTCTGAGTAGTCAGTGGACTGTATCATCTACCAGAGTGTAGCTGAAACCCAACATCTCTTGTCTTTTTTCTCAAGAACAGTCACTCAGTTACCACATACCCTTTAAAATATCTCTTTATTATCCAGATTTAGATATATTAAAAATAGTCTCTTTCTTCCTCCCTTTCTCAAATCCTACCAGATCTCAAAGTTTGTGCATAATGAAAACGTGCTATAACCTGTTTAGCCATTGGTCTTCTCTTTAATGTGAGAGTTTTTAAAGCAGTTTCATTCTACTTTATGAATGTTGTCAGTTCCTTATAGTCTTAGGATGAATTTGCCAAATGAACTTAAATTTGTTCTTTCCCCCACAGGGTTAATCATCTCATTTTAGTGGAGCCTTGGGGTTTTCCTGAGAGACCAGATCTTGATGATCAAGAAAGACCAATTCCAGTTTGGATCAGAGCCTTGGGAGCTGCGTTGACTCCCTTTAACCCTTTAGCGGGCCTCAGAATTGCAGGACCCTTTGGTGAGTCTTTATGTCTTAAGGAAGCAAAATGTTTATAGATTATCAGTAGAGGACTATTTACCAATCTCATTTTTGTTTGTCAAAGTCTTAAAAACCAGCCAACCAACAATCACACAAAAAACTGAACCTTTATGTTTTATTCGTCCTCCAATAATAAGTACCAGGCCATAAACAGAAATGAAGAAAACAGGCTTTTCTCCTGAAAAAAGAATCCTTATATTGCAACAAGCAGTTAGAAAGCAGAGAAGGAGGGACTGCTGAGGATGGGGTTAATCATCTTTGAACATTCTGAGAAAACCAAATAATCAGAGTGTCCCTCAGGAAGTGTCTGCTCTCTTAGTACATGGGAAAAGGAAGTGTAGCTTGTTAACCTGTTGCTGAGCATTAAAGAGCGGTTGGCCAATAGATTGTATCCAGCTGGTGGGTGACAAAGCCTGACTTGATTGACTGTGGGGATAACAAGAATCACCACACTCTTTGTCCCTTCCTTGCCCCTTAAATCTCAAAATGTTAGAAAGAGAGTCATTCTTCTCCGCAAACATTTTGGAGACTTGTGATTTATATTTCCAATGTTTTGAGGTACTGGTGTTTAGTCTCTGATTTAAGTTCATTTGTCTCTCAGCCTGTGTGCCTTGGCCCTGCAATTTTGGGGATGTTTTTACCTTTTTGTCACAGATGGTTATGGTCTGGCCCTCTCCCTTTACCCCTCATGACGTGTGTAAGTTATAAATGCTTTCAGCTGCAAGTAACTAAATACCTGACTAAGTGGCCTAAAAATCATAAAGTCTTTTACTATTTCCATAAAGTCTTTTACTGTTTCCTAAACAAGCAGTCTGGAGGTAGGTGGTTTCCGTGTTTGTTCTAGTAGCTAGCTCATCACTGTCAGGGTTTGGGTCTGTGTTTGTGACTCTTGGCCTTCTTCCTCACCTTAGTAAGATGACTGTGTGGCATGAAGCATCATCTCACAAAATAGCACCTTAAGCAAGAAGAAAGGAAAACATGGAAAATAATCTTTCTCTCTCCGTAATGCTTTCTTTTATCAGTGAAGAAAATCTTCCCTGGAAGGCCACAGGAGACACCTCCTTATGTCTGCCCACCCTTAGGACTTCCACTAGCAAAGAAGAATAAATTTCTCTGACTGATCAATCATAAGTTATTCCCTGGGGCTGAGGGAGGGGCCTGCTTTCTTTCTAGGCAGCACATTGCTGCCTAACTGATACTGTATAAAAGTACAGTTCTGTTAGCAAGAAAAGAAGAGAGGCATAGTGGCAAGGGGTGCTCCTCTCTGCCCAGCCCTGGTGCCTCCTTGCCTCCCTTGCCTCAGTACCATCCCTGCAGGGGATAGCAGCAAGTGAAAGAAGCACAGGGTTGAATTGGTGACCATAGTCCCTCACTGCTCTTCTAAATGATCTTTTCCCTGTCCCATTCTTCTTCCCCCTCCCTAGTAGAACCACTCCTCAGGTGCTTGATGAACTATTCAAGAGATCTATATATTCTATATAGTGCTGAAATACAAATGAATTTTATTGGAATTATGGTAAATATAAAGTATGAAAAGAAATTAGGGAACAGTAATGGGGAATGGAGAATTTCTAGGGTAGGACTTTTAAAGCCATATCCTCTGTCTCCCAGCGTTGCTTGCACTTGTTGTGGGGGTGGGGGTGGATCAGGGAATGTGGAATATCAGCTATATCATAAAAATTCTTACTGTAGTTGTGTGAATCCTTCAGAGATAGAAAGGTAGGACCAGGAAAGAAGTAAAACCTTGCTAGAGTAATGGGTGAGTGGTAGTAGCAGAAAGGAAAGCTGACCAATCCCTGACGAGAAGGTGGCTCTGGCTCTTCATCCTCTTTTGCTTCAGGGCCCTTGCCCCTCCTTCTCACCTCATGGGGGGACCTGAGAGCCACTGTAGCTGGCCTTAGCAGGGAGTGGTGCTGGTGTTCCCAAGCGGAACCTCTGAGTTAATTTTCCACAGAAAACATTTATATATCCCAGTTCACTTAGTTTAGATGCTGAGAGGTTGTAATTATGGAGGAAACACAAATTAACAAGTTAACTTTATTTGTGAGCTACTCCATTCACCTACCAAGTGTAATAGAATTTATTTGCTGACAGAAACAAATTTTAGAAAACTAACTTAATATGGTTTTGAGCTCTTAAAGCATAGTTATAAGTCCATATACAACACTCTTTGATTCTTACTTTAATCTTTCTTTAGGGAACTTGAAAAGAGCAGCTTTTAGGATTTATGTTTTTTTTCCATCTAAATTATATTTGAATATATGGACACACGCCCCTCACTTATCAACATGGTTTGTGATCCAAAAACCACGGTGTTGTGTGAAAATTGGCATTTTGCAAAAATGGAGGATGATTACATCATTGCCAAATTATATCATTACATAACTCCCAAACCACTGAGTGTCCTGGCCCAGCCAAGGTGACGCATAACCTTAACCATCACAGCCAATGTTAGTCTCCCTTCACACCTCAGCATTCATTATTGCCAGGCATATGTTGTTAATGCACGAAATAGTCAGATAGTATATTTTTTACTGTAATAAATATGAAATACCAGATAACATGATAGGCAATAAGTGAGGAATAGGTGTATAAATGCATACACATAACACTCATTGTATAAGTAAGCACTAAAACTTTATTATATAGTTTACATATTAAATTTAACTTGAAACATGGGTGTTTTTATTTCATACTAAATAGGTTTAAGTTTAGTGCAGCGTTTAAGACCTGATTTCAAGCGGAAGTATTCATCAATGTTTGCAGATGAAACTGTGACAGAATACATCTACCACTGCAATGTACAGACTCCAAGGTAACATTTATGATTCTAAATTTACATGTTTGGTTTTTACATTTTTTTGCAATATATGTGAGTAGTCTAGAAGGTTTTATAAAATGGTTAAATATGAAAGGGCAAGTGTTCATCTCTTCAAGCAATACCTACAATAAAACATGGTCTTGGGTTCTAATGGGGCTTTAAAAAGTAAGGATTACTTTCTTTCCCTGATGTGCTTATGAATAAGTTGAGGATGCATTGGTCTTGGTTATATCTAGGAGATGGTCTGAGTTGATGGATAAAGAAAAATTTCACATTGAAGCAACATTTCCCAAACTCAGTATGTGAGTATGAGTGTTAGACCGAAAAGAAGGTGCTGGATTAAACAATACTAAATGTGGTTTTTGTTTATTTGTTTTTTCTGTACTGTGGATCATTTTAAAACCTTTATTTTGCCAGAGTACATTAGATCTCTCGAGTGCATGGGAAATAGTGTACAGCATTTTCCAAGTTCATTCAGCAATTCCACTGAGCAGCCCTGAACATTGGTAGAAACACTGCTGCAGTTAGGGAAGAGTAAACAGGCTTGGTGGAGGGAGAGGGATAGAAGGGATTCTGCTTGAATTTTGACAGTGATTAGGAGAGAGGGAAGAAAGTAGCCAGAGGAAACAAGAGAGCCAAGCAAAGGGGTTTCTTAGTAAAAACTCTGTGTGTGTGTGTGTATGTGTGTGTGTGTGTGTTGACTTGAGGATGTTGGGTCGAAGGTACAAGTAGAGAACACAGAGCCTAAAGGTAGTGGGACACTAGGAGGAGGCTGACAGACCAAGGCCCTAGAATTGCAAAGAACATCAGGAACAGAGTGTTGAGATGAGAGCTCCACTGAGATATTAGAAGACTTGTCAAAAATGCAGTTCCTGAGCCCTTATTTTGAGATTCTGATTCAGCAATTCTGGGCTGCACATTTAACAAGGACTTCAGATTATTCTAGAACACATGGGGCATGAATTATTGTTGTTATGTACCGTCGAGTCAGACCCTACTCATAGCGACCCCTTCTTGGGTTTCCGAGGCAATATTGCTATGGAAGAAGATTGCCCAGCCTTCCTTCTGAGGAGTGGCTGGTGGGTTTAAATCACCACCCTTCTGGTTAGCAGTCAAGTGTCAAGTGCCTTAAGCATGAATAGCACTTTAAAAAGCAAGAAGTGGTCCCTCATCCTTTTCCTTTTCTAGGACTGAGACTTGGGTGGCAGGCTGAGAGGCTAGAAGCAGGGATGGCTTCCATGTGTTTTTTTTTCCTTTCCTCTCTCACTTTTGGTAGGGAACATGTATACCTACTTTATTAAAAGATCAAGGCCGCGGAGGCTATTGAGGTGTAGCTGTATCTTTTTCATAAAACAGGTTAGAGGTTCTCTGCCAAGAGTGAGGGAAGCTGGAGGGCCAGGTCCTCAAATGACTGGTATTTTGTGACTCTCAAGGCAGTTGAGTCCAGTGGATTAAGTCTGTGCATTTTTATTGACTTGGTCCAACAATTGTCAGTGGTTTCATCCCAGAATCATCATTCTTTTCCTGCATGATCTTGGTGTTTTCCTCTTGACTCACACACATTTCATGGTCACATGTGCCATGTAGTCCTGATTTACTGCTTTTCTTATGGTAGAACTTGAATTCTTCATACAAGCCAATTTATAATTTTGCCTACTTCTGCAAGAATAGCAAAATGACAACAAAAAGGACCTATTTTGCAGCAATTTGCAAAAATATTTAATGCAAGTTCCTTCTTAAGTTGGTAATGGCTTTGCCATTGCAAGTAAAAAGCTGGTACCACGAACCATCAGAAAAGTTACCTTATAAGTCAGTTCGCAGTAAGTCACAGTGAAAAAAACATTTTAGCTATCTCCACAAAAAGTAATTTAATACTATAATGATAGAGAATTGTTGCTATTAGTTGCCATCAGATTGATTCCAACTCTTGGTGACCCAATATGCAGAGTGGAACTACTCTGTAGAGTATCCAAGGCTGTGACCTTTCAGAAGCGGATAGCCAGGCTCATCTCCCAGGTCACCTCTGGATGGGTTCAAACTACCAGCCTGTTAGCTGGCAGTTAAGTGCTTAACTGTGCTGTGCAGAGACTCTACAACAGAGGATTAAGTTTCCATGTTTTGGTTTAGAAGAAGAAAACTTTTTAATTCACTGTTGTTCAGAGCAAGGAGCTCTAGTGACCTGGTGGATGAGGCATTTGATTGGTAACTGGAAGGTCAGCAGTTCAAACTCGCCGGCCATTCTGCAGAAGGAAGACAGGGCAATCCACTTCTGTAAAGATTTACAGCCTTGGAAACCCAGTGGGGGTTGCTATGAGTCAGAAACGACTCGATGGCAGTGAGTTTGGTTTGGGTTAGTATAGTTCAGAGCAGCCTTGTTTATAACAGTATCATCTTCTGTAGGGGTTTTCCTTAAGCTTCCCAGTAAGTCCTTTCTGTTTAAGCTGAGGTGGCTCTTAAATGAGAGAGAAGCTGGATGTAAGGGTGTTTTGATGAGATGGGAAGGTGATGTATACTCTTCCAAAAAGTCATACATGTATCTTCCTTCTTTCCCCTTAAGTGGTGAGACAGCTTTCAAAAATATGACAATTCCTTATGGATGGGCAAAAAGGCCAATGCTTCAGCGAATTGGTAAAATGGACCCTGACGTTCCAGTTTCAGTGATATATGGCGCCCGATCCTGCATAGATGGCAATTCCGGCACCAGCATCCAGTCATTACGACCACATTCATACGTGAAGACAATAGTAAGTATGTGGCTTGGTTCTGGTGTTCAGTTGTGGATGAAGTCTGTTTGTTCTCTTTGTCTTAATGAGGTTGCAGGTCATACTTGTGATTTCTGAGCTATATCTACAGTCTCAGAGACAATATCACACGGATTGGGAGCAGGGTTTGACCTACATGTCCAAACGGTGAATCACCTTTCTTAAGGGCTTGTTTTGTCCCCATGGCTGGGAGAGACTGAGAGAGGGACTGGTTCAGCAGTGTGTCAGCCAGCCAGGAAGACAGCCAACTCCTACCTCACACAGCAGCACAGTCTCACTTTGTTCCATCTCTCTGCTGGTCCTGTGATTAGTATTCAATTTAGACAGAAGTGTTGAAGTGTTGTTTTTTTATTTTTCACATTAACATTTTTATTAGGATTCAGTAGGTTTTTATATTTGTTCTCAGATCTTTTAATCGATAGAAAAATGGAGTGATTTTACAGATCTGTGTTGCTTATTCCTTTATGTTGTACTTTATTTACAAACACTGCTCTCATTATTATTGCCAAGTGTCTTTGCTTATATCACCATGTTTTATCGAATGCTTGTTACTCATAGACTGGTTGACTGCCTTTCCTCACCCAGGCCATCCTTGGAGCAGGGCATTATGTGTATGCAGACCAAGCGGAAGAATTCAACCACAAGGTAAAGGAGATCTGCGACACCGTGGACTGAGCACATGGAAGCCACAGGGGAGCACATGGAACCTGGCCATTGATATGATTCCTCAGCAATAATTGGTAGTCTCTGATGAAGAGTAAGGACTACTACACAAGAACCAGCAGTTTCTTAACTGTACTTTGCACATGTTTTCTTTATGAAGTAATTTGCACATTTAAACCAGTTAGTGCCTTCTGGAAAAATGGTTTTCTTTTCTCCCATACAAAAATTAAAATTTACTTAAAATGTACAAAGGAGTCTCCTAATCTAATAACTTTAAATAAAAGGTTATTTGGCCCTCTAATGTATTGAAAAATTGTAATTTTATTTTATTTTCATTTCTATTGAACTTTGCTATGTTGGGTACATTGGGTACATTTTATACTGCAGTCTATATTGCCAATTTAAAGTAATAATTTCTGGGTCAATTGTTTATATACTGTAAAGATGCACTTTATTTTCTTTGCATGTATTTACTGTGTTTAATAACTGATGGTTAATCTAAATTCAGTGTGTATTAATGTAAAACTATCAATTGTTTAGAATGCTTCATTTTTTGAATATAGTGACAAGACAGGTTTTTGGTTAAAAGGAGGGGGAGTCAATCACTAGCATTACTTTTACTGATTTTCCTCATTCTGTATTACATTTTAAATGTGATTACCCAGATATGAAATCTTTGGCAACATAATTCCTTGGAATTGTCTGTGTGTGATACAATTCTACTCTTTATGGAAACATGTCATTAATATTTCACTGATGCAAGTACTTGAAAAGCCTTAACTGAAATTCTGTCCTTTTTTTCCCATTAGTGATAGTATTTTCTATGAACTGAGATACAACAAACAGGACTGATTTCCATACTGAGGGGATATCTAAAACTGTTACTTTCCAGTAAGCCACATCATATTTTCTTTAACATCTACTAATTCTTGTAGATGGGTGCTAACACTGGATTACATTTTTACCACTAAAATATAAAAATAGGTGGCACTAATAGATCTCAATGCAGCAGAGTTGAAGTGTCACTTAGTTTTATTTTTAAAGAGTTTCGTGTTGATCGAATCACTTACATACTTGAAGTTTTATTTCAAAAACTCCATAAAGTACCACAGTTGATCAAACTATTTGACAATAACTGCTGTTAAGAATAGCACTTTCTTGCTGTTTTAAAATGAGGAAAATTTCTTTGAAACTGTGAAAATAAGCTCCACATGGCAACTGGCTGCTGAGAAGAACCTCCAGAAAAGAAAATCAAATAGGCATCTTTGCCTTACATTTTGCTTAATGTTGCCTGTCTGGGAGAAAGGTGATTATATAAATAAAACAGTGAACCTAGAGCAAATCATGCTTCTGTGCTCTGGCTCTTTGGTCAATTAGGAAATGCGTAGTTTAAGGAAATATCAGGTGGTATCACTGTGGATGAACTACAAGAAAGACTCATTGTCTACTTTATCTCCCCTATTGAAGAATGGGTAAATTTTACTAAAGCGTGATGAACAGCTTCACTTCCCAATGAACAGATTATCTGGCTTGTCACGTTAACTGAGTTAATGAAAGAAGATGTAACATGAGAGCTAAGAAATGACAGTTTTCTCTACCTTACGAACAAAACTAGTCCTCATTTTTCAGTTAGTATCTTGGCTGACCAGACTCAAGCCTATCAGCAGTAGAAATAATTTGGGTGATATTTTTTTTGTTTTTGTTTGACAATCTCTGGTCTCTCTTAATAATCCTTTGTTGGTGAGTGACAGTTTTCTTTTGGGAGGGACGATTTCTGCACAGGAAACATGGTCCCAGCTCTTAGAGGGCAGTTACTTGGTTTACTTCATAAATGAGGTTTCTGGCCACAGATGAGTCAAGTGATAAGGAAAGAAATATACCCAAACGTCAAGTAGAGCTTATTTTCCTACCGACTGGATTTGTATTTTTGAAAGATGTTATCGTAATTCTTTTTAAAAGTTATGTTTTGCTTTGGGCAACAGTGTATGGAATTTTGTGAAGATTGAGCCAGCAGAGAAGGTCACAATCTGCCAATGCCTGAAAATACAGCAGGTGCTAAATATTTTCTATTACAGTATTTGATCTTTGATAAATTATGCATAATGTAGTTTAATATATGGAATAAACTTTATTGTGATAGTTGCAACGAGATAGCTGTATATTTCCTTGAGTCCTTGGTTTGGGCCAGTCTGTTTGTATCTGTTATTATCCAACTGTGGGGCCAGGGACTGTTGAGTAAACCTCTGTTAGGATGCTGAGGGAAGGCTGCTTTGGGACTGTTGTAACCTCCGGACTTGGCCTTACCCTGTGTCTGTGCATTCCCTAAATATCACTCGCTTAGTATGATGTCTCATTTCTTCCTTGTTCTTCCATAAATAATTTTCAAAAAAAAGCTTGCCAAGAGTTTTCAGAATATTATTTAGAAAGGGCTTTTGAAATGTTTCTGTTGATACGTATTTTTTATATTTAAAGGGGCATAACAGATCTCAAATAAAATGAGCAGTTTTTTTCCTACATGAAAGTAAGAATAAAGAAGAATAGCTAGAAGAAATCTGAAAGAGAACGGGGGAAAGGAAGGCCAACCCTGCGAGGTATTACATACAGCCTATCAAGAGAAGTGACACAGTGGCTGGAACAATGGGCTCAAACATACCAATGTTTGTGAGGAAAGGACAGGACCAGGCAATGTTTCATTGTTATCTATAAGGTCGCCATAAATTGGAGCGACTTGATGAACTTACAACAACAGAATGGAGAAAATCCAAGAATTTAGTATGGTTAGCATGTGTTTGTTGGAAGGTCAACGAAAAAGGGGAAGGTCCTCATCGAGACGGACTGACACAGCAGCCACAGTGATGGGCTCAGGGATAGCAAGGATTGTGAGGCTCACAAGACCAGGCAGTGTTTCGAGTCAGAGCTGACTCGACGGCACCTAAAAACAACAATAACAAGCATCAGTGGAGAAAAAGACTTTTAAAATATGATGTTGGAATAAGTACAGTTAACCATGTGGAAAATAAAAGTGAAGCCACTTCTCTTGTACACAAGGAGAAAACCCAAAGAGATTAGGGACCCAATTGCAAACCTGTAACACTCTCAGTACTAAAGGAAAATATAGGCAAATGCCTTCATAATCCGGGAAGGAAGAAAGTTTCCTCTAACTGAAAATCTGGAAGCAATGAAAAGAAAAGTACGTTTCTTGACTAAGTGAAAATAAGAGTTTTGAATAGAAAGGTTGTTGTTGTCGTTAAGTGCTGTCGAGTCGTTTCCGGCTCATAGCGACCCCATGCACAGCAGAATGAAACACTGCCTGATCCCGTGCCAGCCCCACAATCCCTGCTATACTTGAGCCCATCATTGCAGCCACCGTGTCAATCCATCTTGTTGAAGGCCTCCCCCTCTTTCATCGACCCTCCACCCTACAAAGCATGACATCCTTCTCCAGGGAATGGTCCCTTCTTACAACATGACCAAAATAGGTGAGATGAAGTCTGGCCATTCTTGCTTCCAAGGAGCATTCTGGCTGCACTTACTCCAGGACAGATCTGTTAGTTCTTTTAGCAGTCCATGGTACTTTCAGCATTCTCCGCCAGCACCACAACTCAAAAGCATCAACTCTTCTTTGGTCTTCCTTATTCATTGTCCAGCTCTCACATGCATACGAGGCGATTGGAAATATCATGGCTTGTGTCAGGCGCACCTTAGTCCTCAAGGAGATATCCTTGCTCCTCAGCACTTGAAACAGTTCCTTTGCAGTTGACTTTCCCAGTGCTACACGTCGTCTGATGTCCTGACTGCTGCTTCCGTTGGCATCGATTGTAGAACCAAGCAACGTGAATTCTTTGACAACCTCAATCTTCTCTCCATTTATTGTGATGCTGCTCATTGGTCCAGTTGTGAGGATTTTTGTTTTCTTTCTATTGACACGTAATCCATACTGCAGACTGTATTCTTCAACCTTCATCAGTAAGTGCCTTGAGTCATCCTCACTTTCAGCAAGCAAAGTTGTATCATCTGCGTATCTCAGGTTGTTAATGATTCTTTCTCCAATCCTGATGCCATGTTTTTCTTCATATAGTCCAGCTTCTCAGATTATTTGCTCAGCATATAGATTAAATAAGTATGAGGAAAGGATACAACCCTGATGCACTCCCTTCTTGATTTTAAACCATGCAGTGTCCCCTTTTTCCATTCAAACGACAGCCTCTTGGTCAAGGTACAGATTCCTCATGAGTACAATCAAGTGCTCGGGAATTCCCATTCTTCTCATTGTTATCCATAATTTGTTATGATCCACACAATCAAATGCCTTTGCATAGTCAATAAAACACAAGTAAACATCTTCCTGGTATTCTTTGCCTTGAGCCAAGATCCATCTGACAACAGCTATGATATCCCTTGTTCCATGTCCTGTTCTGAATCCGGCTTGAACCTCTGGAAGTTCTCTGTCAATATACTGCTGCAAACGTTTCTGAATTATCTTCAGTAAGATCTTACTTGTGTGCGATATTAATTATATTGTTCTATAATTTCCACATTCTGTGGGATCACCTTTCTTTGGAATGGGCACAAATATGGATCTCTTCCAGTCAGTTGGCCAGGTAGTTGTCTTCCAAATCTCCTGGCATAACTGAGTGAGTGCCTCCAGTGGGGCATCTGTTTGTTGAAATATCTCAATCGGTATGCCATCAATTCCCGGAGCCTTGTTCTTCGCCAGTTCTTTCATTGCAGCTTTGACTTTTTCATTACCATTGGTTCTAGGTCATATGCCACTTCCTGAAATGGATGAAGATCGATCAGTTCTTTTTGGTACAGTGACTCTGTGTATTCCTGCCATCTTTCTCTTGATGTTTCCTGCATCATTCAATATTTTGCCCATAGAATCTCTCAATATTGCAACTTGAGGCTTAAATTTTTTCTTCAGTTCTTTCAGTTTGAGAAATGCCGAGCATGTTCTTCCTTTTTGGTTTTCAGACTCCAGGTCTTTACACATTTCATTATAGTAATTATAGAATGGAGAGGAGGAAAGAAAAAAAGGAAAAAGGATAAATAACAAATAGGCAAAAATATTGAGAACTTTTATCACAAAGGGCTAATACAGCCCAATTATATAAAGAATTTCTAAAGTTTGAGAAGAACCTGAAGGAAATATGGGCAAAAAGATGAACAGACAGTTCACAGAAAATAAATTGCAAATGACCCTTAACTACGTAAGGAATGTGCATAATAAGAGAACTGCAAATTAAAGCTGCCCAGATACCATTTCTTACCTGTGAGACTGGGAAAAAGCCTAGTTTGA